ACGCCACGCTTGGGGCCGACCCACAGGCCGTCACCTCGCAGGGCCCTCCGTGCACGGACAAGGAGGGATGCCCGATCCACCGAGCCCCCAAGCCCGACGGCATCAGAAGGCCGTGCCACAGACCTCATGCCGCAAGCACGCGCAGAGTCCCCCCGTATGCGACAAGGAGGGATGCCACGGTACAGAGCTCTCACGCCCGATAGCAGCCGCAGTTTGAGTGCCGAGGAGGGCCAGGAGGCACAGGATGAGGAGGTGGGAGGAGATAAGGCAGAGAGAGTGTCAGGAGGAGGGGGGCGGGGATGCAGAGGATTAGAGAGGACTGGAAAGGGAAACGAGGGGTGTGCGTCAGCAGGTGGGAGGGGGATGGAAGGAGGAAAGGGGGAAACCGCTCGCGGCGAAGTATCTAGAGAGGTAGTTGCGTGGCAGCTTGCACATTGCTGCCAGGCGAAGCGGGCACGGGAAGTTGCCCAATTTCCGCCTCTCGGACGCAGCGTTGCCCGACACGTTGCTTGGGCCATTCCCCTTAGTTTCGCCTCCGCATCCTCCCCCCAGCCCTCCTGGCAGTGTGTTGTCATTCTCTACCGCGTAACGGTCGTAACCAGGGCCAAACCTCACCCCACCCACCCCTGGGTAACTGTAACGATCCTACGTGTAGCAGGGGTGTTTGGTTGTTCCTTTCACTTGCTGGTGCTCGCGCGCGGACTGTGGCGATCGCGACGCACCCCCGCCTCGTTGGGCCCCACCCCACCCAAGCATTTCGCGGAATCGGGGCCCCAACCCCTTTTTCCTTGGGTAGCGACCGCCACTTGAAATTGTAAAAAATATTATCCATGGGAGTTCCACAAGGGCTTCCAGGGGCAACCACAATGTAAATTCGGGAAATGCTTCGGTTGTGTGTGCAGTCTTGTCTTTTCGAGCTTGGGGACGCCCAAGACAACTCAGCAGACCCCTGGCATCGCTACGGTGGGGGCGTTGGTTAAGGAATGTGCCCAGGAGGATTCAGACACTGGGAGATTCCTTTTCAGAGAAGGGCGGCGGCGATGTCCATGGTCAATGCACGATTGGAGTCCCACGGGCTTTCAGACACCTGGGTTCCTCTAGGCCTCCTAGGTGGGTCCGAGTAGATGGGGTCGGAGGATCGCGCCGCATCGCCGATACATCACCGATGCGTCTGAATGTGGAGCCCGATGTTTGTCCGCGCTAGTGTCGCCGAAGTACCGCCGACGTCGCCGATGCATCGGCGATGCATCGGCGATGCGGCGCGACCCTGCCACCCCATCTACTCGGATCCCATCTGGGGGGCCTCCAGTTCCTCATCCAATGGTTCTTTAGCCAATAGTTCTGCTTCTGCCTCTTGTTTTTCGTTGTCGTCGCTTGTGCAAGAGAGCCTGCCTCCGCAGTTCAAGGAGTTAAAATGCCCTCGCCGTGTCCAGAAATCGTACGAGAACAGGCACCCTCCTCCGCCGTATCCGGCGCCCTGCCCCGCAGGCGGCCTGCAGTTCTTCTGCACCTCCGTGGACGAGCCGGAGGGGGACCTCGAGCTCCTGATGACGCGCCGCGGCCGTGGCGAGGGGGCGCCTGAACGTTCTGGGGGGGCCGGGGGGGTCAGGGTCTGAAGGACGTACATGTACATGAATCCATGATGGTTTCGAGAGTACGCATTGAGCGAACGCTCGTCTCACGCGGCCAGTCTCGCGGATTGGGGGTCCGTGTTCATGTACGTGGCCAGGGTCGGAGCTCAAGGGACGGGGGTCACTGCAAACGGGGGTCAGTTCAGAGCGCCGGGTCTTGAAGGATCCTGCGGAGCCAGGGTTGCCCTGACCGGGGCTTGGGTGTAGGATGCTGCAGGATCCTGTAAGGACCGACCAGCCTGGGTTTGCATCGGGTCAGTGGATACCCGACAGGGGTGAGGGGCGGCAGGTCAGGGGCAACGTTTGCCAAACGTTGCCCCTGACCTCCCGGCTCCCGCGAGGCGTGCTCCACGCGAGGGTTCGGATCGAGACGTGTTTTTTTACAAATGAGTTCCAAATTGCTTTAAAGGGGGGTGGGGCCTCCGATCTCATAGGTTATGTGGGGGTCAGCGTTTGAGGTTGCCTGCCGTTTCCGTCGGTGCTCGGCGGCTTTCCAGCTCGGGGTGCTCTCCAGCCGCTGCGCCTCGCCGGGAGGCGTCCAGGGGTGCCTGGATCGCCCGAACGGACGGCGGAGGCCCGAGCAATCGTTCAAAACCAGACGGCGAAGGTCATTGGAGGGGACTGGCCCCAGGGGGAGAAGCATCGACCCCCGACCGCCCATTGACAGCCGATGGGGGGCCCGATGGCCCATCCCGGCCAGGAGCCGATGCATCGGCGACGTATCGCCGATTCCAGGTCGACGTTTTCCCCCCTGGGCCAGTTCCCCCCTGACGTTCTCCCGCAGGAGAGCTCTTTGGGGGAAATCGGGGGCCGCACGCCGAAACTGGAATTTGGGCACCCAGCCACCCATGGAAATCGGGCCGCAACGTGGAGGTAGTTCTAGACGCTTCGCGTACCCCCACCAGTCCATTCTGAAACGAAGCCCAGGCGAGTTGCCCTGATCAGAGATGTGGAGGAGCACGCAGCGGAATATATTATAGGGGTGGGGAAGCGTCGTACCCCAATCGGGTGAGGATGGAGGCAGGCCGGCAGACGATTACGCACCAGCGTTCAACCTGCACCCGCCAGCATGCAGACCCGAGGGGCATGATCACTCCAGCGCTGGCACCCCGAGAAGCGGGGCCATGCCAGCAATACATCATCCTCAAGCTGGGGACCCGAGGAGCGGGACCATCGCCGGCGCTAGCTCCCCGAAGAGCGGAGCCACACCAGCAGTACAACATTCTTAAGCTAGGCTCCTTTTTCTCGTCCGCCCACGTATTCCTCCTCCTCCTCCTCCCTCATCCCTCCTCCCTCCTCTCCCCTCTCCCTCCCCCTCTCCCTCCCCCTCCTGATCCTCCTGCTTCTCCGAGTTGCGACTAGTCAGCCTTCTCTGCGGCGCATGTTTGTTGCGTCGGGCCTCGCTCGTGATGTGGCTTGAGCTGGATCGAGAGGCGTGGTCGACTCGGCCACGCCTCCATGAAGGATCAAGGATCATGGACGAGGAGGAGAAGGACGAGGAGGAGGAGAAGGAGGAGGAGGAGGAAGAGGAAGAGGAGGAGGAGGAGGAGGAGAGCGAGCAGGAAGACCAGAGGCCTCTTGGATGCGTCTCGGAGTCTCTTCGGATGTCTCTTGAGAGTTTGTTGGAATACGGCAGCGCTCTCGCAGCAGACGGTTGAGGATGCCACTCTCCATCTTCTGGCGATCCCCATGTGGACGGAAGTGGAGCGGAAGGACGAGGAGGAGGAGGAGGCGGAGGGTGACAGCAGCGGAGTGAAGATAAAGAGTTGAGGAAAGAGGCAAAAGACTGCACGCGTTCGTGAAACAGGGGGGCGGCACGGGTGAACCCAGAGCTTTCTCGAAGATCTTTGGAGATTCTAAAGGGATTGGTGGGGGGTGGAGTGGAGGGGGGGAGGGGGGGCAGGTGTCGGGGGATGGAGTGGGGTGGGGGTGGAGCGGGAGTCGGGTGAAGGGTGGGTGGAGGGGGGGCGGAGGGGGGGGGGGGGGGAATTTGTCGCTGCGTGCCCCGGTTTGACTGGACTCGCCGCTGACGCGCTCGCCCGCGGCCGCTGACTAAAAAAGCAGCCCCACCAGCCAATCCAGAAACAGATCGCCAGGCGAGTTGCCGTGGTCAGGGCAGTGTAGACGCATGCAGTGTGACAACCGCCTCGGAAGCGTTTTCTCGGAGGTCTCTTGGAGCCATCCTGGGGCTCCCTGAGGGTCCTCGCGGAGCCTTTTGGGGCACTCTTGAAGCTCTTGTGGAGGCCTCTTGGGGCCGTCTTGGGGCTCTTGGGGGGTCTGGAAGGCCTCTTGGGGCCGTCTAGGGGCCCATGGCTGAAAAAAGAGGGGGGTTATGAATTCAGCCCCCACCCCCTCCTCCCAGAGGCTCAAAGATGATTGCTTCAGGCCCTTTGGGTGCGATCTTGGGCTCCCTTGGGCCCCTCGTCGGGTTCTCTTGGGCCGTCTTGGGGCCATGTTGAGGCCTCAAGAACCCATCGGAAGCGAAACGGCGAGAAGGCCAAATGATATTGATGTCTCTAAGATGTTTGAAGGAGTTGGGCCTCATGGGGGGTCTCTAGAGGGCTCGGAGGGCACTTGAAACCGTTTTGGGGCAGTCTTGAGGCCCCTTGGATGCGTGTCGAAGGCTTGAACCATCTGAGGCCCTCTTGGAGCCATCTTGGGCGCTCCAACTACCCGCGCCCCCCTTCCCAGGCCCAGGGGAGGGGGTATGGGATGGGTCGAGCTACCCACCCGCCCGCAAGCCGTCTAGCTCACTCCCACCACCCTTCCCACTCCCACCCGCCCTCCCAATACATCAGTAACACCCGAGCCTGAGCATGTTCAGCGGTCGTCTTTGGGTAGACAGCTATTGGGAACCAAAGCCGACCCCAGGTGCGCGACGCTTGGGCGAGGTGCGCCACTCGTGCCAGGGGCGCCACGCGCGCCAGGCGCCCCTAGGGCCCGAGCGTGCCAGGCACGCCTGGTGCGCGAGATGCGCCACGTGCTTCGAGTGCGCCAGGTGTGCCGCACACTCCAGCCGTGTCAGGTGCGCCATGTTCGGGGCACGTGCAGAGTACGTCAGGTGCGCCTGCGCACGTGACAGCACACGTTGGGAAACATGTCGACCCCCGCCATCCTTGTCGAAAACCAATGCCCATCATTGTGTCTGGTGGGCCTGCGCACAGCAGGCCACGCGCCACCACCCCCGCCGTCCCTGTCCAAAGAAATGTTTCACAGTGAGGGATGGCCGCGCATGATCCAGAGTTAGCCGCGAGGTGCATGTTGTCTTGTATTGTCAGGGATGGTGGCCCTGCGCACTGCAGGGAATATCCTGACACCCCCGCCGTCTCTGTCAAAAACAATGCAAAGTGTTCGCGGGCCTCACGAACATGACTCAAGAATTTGCCCCAAAGTGTACTTTGCATTGTTGTTTGACAGGGATGGTGGGAGGGCGGGGGGGCGCATCGGGTTGGCCGCGCATGCTCCAAACGTGGAAGCAGAGTGCGGTTTGCATGTGTTTTGACATGTATGGCGGGGGGCGGGCCCTCATGAAGTCGGTGGTTCTTGGTTGGACGCCGGCCGGGTGGGGGAAGGGGTGTATACTATCAAGGAACAGTGTTACACCCTTCCCCAGAGCAGGGGAGGGAGGGAGCTTTGGCAGAGAGAAGGCAACGTTCGTTAAACCACCTACACCCGGAGGGCTGGTAGGATTAGGAAACTGGGAGGGGAAGTGCTTCAAGCCACTCACGCCCAGAGGGTTGGTGGGATTTTACTAGGACCCCTTTTCAGTGCATGCGTTGCTTCGGGAACGTCTGTGTGAGACGTATGGCACGCCACTGCGTGCTGAGGGCACTGTGAGCGCACCTCGTTCCGAGTCGCAGCAGCCCCCATATGAATCAAATGTGTGTGGTTCAGGTAGTCATGCTTACAACAGTGATGGTGTTACCTTGGCGGAATGTAAGTACGTGCACACACGTGCGTGCATTTGCTCAGCGCAAGTGACCGTATATGCTGGCACGCATACCACCTAAGTTGATAATAATTTGAAGCCTCTTTTGATCCGCAGAGCGCGGGAGATGTGTCGGTAGCCAGGTGCGTGGAAGCCATGAACGAGAAGAGCGACCCGACGGAGGAGGAGATCGCTTGGGGGAGCGGACAGGCGGATGGAGCATCGACGTATCATGGTGTCGGTCGCCCGTATGCTTCTAGAGGCATCCCTGGGGGTCTCTGGAAGTTTCTGGGCACGTCCACAGATGCTTGATCAAGGAGGACGTCGACGACGCTGGGGAGGGGCAGGAGGAGGAGGAGGAGGAGGAGAACGACGAGGTGAAGGAGGTGGAGGATGAGGAGGAGAACGAGGAGAACGAGGAGAATGAGGAGAACGAAGAGAACGAGGAGGAGAATGAGGAGAACGAGGAGAACGAGGAGGAGAACGAGGAGGAGAACGAGGAGGAGAACGAGGAGGAGAACGAGGAGGAGAACGAGAGGGAGAACGAGGAGGAGAACGAGGAGGAGAACGAGGAGGAGAACGAGGAGGAGAACGAGGAGGAGAACGAGGAGGAGGAGGAGGAGGAGGAGGAGCGGGGGGGAGGAGGGGGGCAGAGGGAGGAAGAGGAGGAGGGGAGGAGGGGGAGGAGGGGAAGGAGGGGAGGAGGGGAGGGAGGGGAGGGGGGGAAGGAGGGGGAGGAGGAGAGGAGGGGAAGACACGCCGAGGAGGAGGGGGAGGGGTAAGAGGAGGGGCCCGGAGGGGAGGGGGGGGGAGGGGAACAGGGGGAGGAAGGGGCGCAGGGGGTCGAGGGGAGCAGGGGGAGGAAGGGAGGATAAGCCGAGGAGAACGCGCGGAGGCGGAGGGATTTGGGGCCCCAGGAATCGTCAGCACTTGTTGCGCGAGGTGCGTGCGGCAGCGTGCCCGTCGAAAAATGGATGGGAGTACACCACGTACCATGGGAGGGGGGATGCGTTGCGGAAGAGATAAAGAGACGGAGCACAGTGACAACGTTGAGGTAAGGACACTCTGGGCTCAGGAGGGGCTCTGATTTCCGTGCCGCTCCTCAGACCCAGGTCGGGGGAGCTATTCGTGGCCGAGGCTCGCCGTGGTCAGAAACTCCGGTTCATTCATGATGAGTGCAGCACGATCATTGCACGTGTACCTACGCATGCGCAAAATGTCGTTGGCGTTTCACGTCCTGCACCTTGCTCCTTCAAGTGTCGAATACAGGCGGACCGACAAAGAGAGAGATCTAGAGAGAGAGAGAGAGAGATGAGGGAAGGAGGAAAGGAGGGATGGAGAGGGAGAAAAGTAATGAGGTGATAGTGCTGCCTCTGTGTTCGTCGGCGTCGTTCTATTTCCTTTTGCTTAGCGTTCCTGCCTTCCTTCCTCCTGTGAATCCTTCCCCCTCCTCAGATGTTTGCGAAGGCTCTCCGTGGGAGGTCTCTAGGGGGCCTCTCGAAGGCTTACTGGGGCTTCTGGAGGATTGGGGATCCTCTGGAGGCGTCTCGGGGCCATCTTGCTGGCAACCGCGGTGTCCCTCAACGACCCAGTCCCGACGTGGAGAGCTTTGAGGGATGCCTTGGACTCATCTTGAGCTGTCTTTGGGCTTTGTTGAGGCCTTGTTGAGCCGTCTTGGGGGTTTTCTTGGGTCATCTTGGGCGTTTTGCTTGTTGGCCCGTCTTGGGGCGATCTAGGGGGCCTCTTCGGCGGTCCCGAGTTCCCAGAAGATCGAAGAAGTAGATGTTCCTGAACCGTACACAAAAGACATGGAACAGCCATGTATTGTTGATGCTATGTGGGAAGCTTCGTGAGGGTTGTTTGGGGTGTTTGCCGGACGGGGCTAGGACGAGGATCAATCAGTTCCAGAGCGTTCTGGAACGCTCTGAGAAGGCCGCGGCGCCCGAGACATCCTCCAGAGCCGCCAGCTCTCGGAGATTCTGGATCTGTCCTCATACGATTGTATTGGCCTCCGACCAATGCTGCCGATCTGGGGGAGCTGGATGTTTGTACGAAGAATGAATGTGCAGACAGAGGTCCAGGCCCTCCAAGAAAGCGGAGCACAGGCGGAGCAGTCCCCAGCAGAGCCACCTCAGCAACCACCCCCCGCAGAGCTGAAGCTCAGGCTCCAGGCTGTAGCTCAGGCTTCTGAACCTCACACACCGGACCGACGGATGACGGGAAGCGCCCCCGGCGTGGACCGCTTGTTGGTGGTAAAAATTATGTAATGGCTTCGGACTGCACCGGGCACCCACGCTGGCGGATTTCTGAAAAATGGCCGTCCTCGCCTTCCCTTTTCGTCGTCGCCCAATGCGCCCATCAGACTCAAGCGGCGCTTCCCATTCTTGTCCGATCAGATTCTGCCCTCGCCCTGGCTTCGTCAGGTAGTTTGAGGCGTGCCTGTGGCCGCCTAGGGCTGTCGCGGGGCCGCCTGCCCGCCCCCCCGCCGCCAGGGTCCACTTCGAGCCGAGCGATCCAATTCGACATCGACTGCCAGGGGGACGAACAACGACACAAACATAGAAACTCGGAGGTCTGCGCGGAGTTCTCGGATCGGCGCTGGACCCCCTTGGCGGCGCCTCGGGCGCAGCCCCTGGTGCGCTCCGCGCGCCAAGGAGGGAGGTCAAGCGCCGATCCGAGAATCCGCACCGACCTCCGAGTTTCTATGTTTGTGTCATTGTTCGTTCCCCTAATTACCGCCTGTTCGAGAAGTGAGCCTGAAGGGCGTGCGATGTGTCACGGGCTTCCGAAGCGCAGAGCAATCGTTCATGCTCTCGAGTTCTCGCGATTCTTCCACTGCTTCACCAGAACCCATTGTTAGCCGATCGATCCGATTTCGAGCCAGAGCCAGTTCGACGGATCCGATTTCGATTTCCGGCGACCCCGTGAGGCCTGATGTTTGCATGGCGTCGTTGTGCATTTTGGTGCGGCCGATCCGATTCGATGCCGATTCCGTGCCGATGTGGCCCGATCTAGCACACATTCCAATTCGACCCGATCTATCGATTTCATGTTGATTGATGTTTAGGTTGCAATTCCTGGGAGGGCCAGTTCAGCATTGGCATTGGGGTACATCCGTGGTCGACAGCTGGCCTGATCTACCATACTCCTGCTGGATGAGGCTAAATACTGGGCGAAGCTGGCCGAACAGCCCGTCAATCTAAGTTGAGAGCTTTTTTGTGTCGTTCTTACCCAGACCTCCCAGTAGTTGTTTCCTGATGGTTCCAGGCCTCCTAAAAGGGGTCCGAGCAGATGGGGTCAAAGGATCGGGCCGCATCGCGATGCGTCGGCGATGCGGCTCGACGTGGAGCCCGATTTTCGTCACGCCGACGCCGCCGATGCATCGCCGAGGAATCGGCGATGCATCGGAGACGCGGCACGATCCTCCGACCCCATGTGATCAGGCCCCCTTTTCGGAGGTCCCCACTTGAGAGGACGCTCAAAGTTGCAACGTCGCAAGCAAAAATAGCGGCCAGGGCCCTAGACTCCATCGTTCTGTGGCACTTTCGAGCCAGATCGAGCCGTGATGGTCCTGGGGCCCGAGGCACTGCAACATCGCCCGTTGTGAAAAAACGCGACGCTGGCATCTCAGGGTTCATCACTCTTACAGAGGCCTCCCAGGAGTGGCTTCCTTCTGGTCCGGCGCCCCCGTCAGGAGCGCAAGGGCGGCTCTGGCCACATCGGCAAGATGGTGTTCTCCTGCGGGGTCGAGCAGCTGGCCATCGTGGCCTACGTGCCCGAGGAGCTATGTGCCGGACGCAAGGGGGGCACTGGGGAGAGGGGATCAAACGAGAGTCGAAGGCGCGAACCCTGCCAGCGCCTGCAATGGGTGTGATCTGCGATCGGGGCGTGATCTGCGATCGGCGCCGTTGGAGGTTCAGGAGCCACCACGCTGCGCCAAAAGAGCCCTCGTCTGGGCGCGGCAGAGATCCACGTCGAGGTCCTCGCTCGCCCCCCCAGGCGCGGGTTGCAAGCCACACCCTAATTATGCAAATCACACCCTTCGGAGTCGCCGACCCTGGTATCCTTGCGGAATAATCACGACGGATGGTTTACGTTGTTTCCTGTCCTGGAGAATCACGACGTCGGATGCCTAGGAAGGATTGCGGAATCGAAGGAACGTAAATTGTCGGAAGTGTTCGTCGGTTCTCGGCGATTTTCCATGCTCGGGATCCTTTCCAACAGCTGCGCCTCGCCGAGAGGCTTCTGGGGGTGCCCTGATCTTCCCGAACGGCCGAGACCTCCCCTGGCCCTCGCGTCCTGAAAACATGTTCCGGAAAAGCCTTGGCTATTGCTGGCGGCCGTTTGTTGTGTTCGTCGCGGGGGCCAGTACAGAGGACGGCGAGGAGGGGAGAGGGGGCAGAGGAGATGGGGACCGGGAGACCCCTTGCAACAATCGTTTCCATTCATTCTCTGCCTCCCCCTCATCGTTTCCTCCCCCTCATCGTTTCCTCCTCCTCCTCCTCCTCTTCCTCCTCTCATCTCGAGTTGGCATGCATTTAGTGTGCCTCGGCGATGCTGTACATCAAAGACAGAGAGACTCGAAGCGCCAATAGTGATCTTATGTTACGTTGTCCGTTTCCTCCTCTCCTCCCCCTGCTCCTGCGAGGAGGGGCGGCGGGCATGGCAAGAGGCGGCAGGCTCCTGGAGGTTCTCGATGTTTTTAGAATGGGTGCCCGGACCGTCCAGCAGCAATCCGGGGTGAAGGAGCCAGCCCTGCGCACAAGGGTGCAGAGGGGGAGGGCGGAAGGTTTCTTCGAGGGAGGGAGCTTCCTAGAAGGCGCGGACTTTACCTATAGATACGGGGCCAGCGCCTTCTAAGAAGCACCCCCCTTCGAAGAACCCTTCCCCCTCCCCCACCCCCTTGTGCGCGTCGCCAGAAATTGGAGGTGAAAAGACGCTCCTGGTGAATGGGTCGACAGGACCTGGGCCCAGAGGCTCGAAAGTGTCGGATTGTCCGAGGTGTAGTCTCCTCCCGCTTGATGAGGGAGGGCCAGAGGGAGAACAGTCAGCCCGCAAATCAAGGATGAGCAACTTTTGAAGGGCGCCCTTGCATCCTTTCCCTTCGGCCCATCCGTGGCCGCTTTCGCTGGCCGCGCCCCGCTCGCAGAGTGTCGACATGCCTTCCAAGGCCCTTGCATCCCTATCGTGCGTCCTTATTGTGCGGGTTGACTGCATCGATGATCGAGGCCTTGGCCTGCACGTCTCCTAGGTCGCCCAGGGGCGCGAGGGTAGCCGCGCCTCGCGCGTAGCGGTCTGGGTCCGAGCCGCTGCCCTTGGAGGGCCGCAGGGAGCAGCGATGATCGAGGTCTGGCGATGGGGGGGGAGAGGGGAGAGGAGGAGGAGGAGGAGGAGGAGGAGGAGGAGGAGGAGGAGGAGGAGCAGGGCCGCTGCCTGCACGCTTCCCAGGTCGCCCCCAGAGGCGCGAGGAAGTCGCCACGCCTCGCGCGCCGCGGTCCGAGGCCGAGCTGCTGCCCCTCGCCCAGGGTGGCGGCGCGAGGGCGCGACGAGAACCGCGCCTCGCCCATCGCGGGGCGTCGGCGTCGTCGTCGACGTCGTCGTCGGCGTCGGCGTCGGCGTCGGCGGCGTCGGCGTTGTCGTCGATCGTCGTGTTGGTGGTGGTGGTTATCGTCGTCGTCTTGGTGTCTAGCTCTGCGGAGGACTTCGGGGACCTCCAGGGACCTCCAGGGGAGCAGAGGAGCCTCTCCTCTGTGACCCGGGCCGCCGCAGGAGGGTGGAGGGCCAGAGGCAGTTTTTGTTTCGGCGGGGGGGGGGAGGGAGGAGGGAGGAGCAGGGAGGAAATACATGAACACAGTCCCAGACATCCTCTCCTCGTGAAAAAGCACGAGGGGAGGTTTTTGCCAATGTTCAGACTCCGGGAGCTTTCGCTGGGCCCCTGGACCGGCGAAAACGGTTGAGGATGAACACATTGGGTCCCGTCGAAGCGATGCAAACCTTTGGGGAGCCACGCTGTGGAAAAAAAACACGACGTCGAATGAGAAGCATGAGAAGAAGAAGGAGGAGCAGAAGAAGGAGAAGGAACATACAAATAATATTAGTAGTAGTATTAATCGTAATGATGGTAATGTGGTATATATATATGTATTTTTACTTTCTATATATATAACAAAAAGAAAATAAAACAACAAACACATCATCATCATCATCATCATCATCATCATCATCATCATCATCATCATCAGCATCAGCATCATCATCATTATCATCATCATCATCATCAGCATCATCAGCATCATCATCAGCATCATCATCAGCATCATCATCAGCAGCAGCATCATCATCAGATTCATCATCTTCATCAGATTCATCATACTCATCATCATCATCATCATCATCATCATCATCATTATCATCATCAGCATCAGCATCAGCATCATCATCATCGTCCCAACCTTGAGCGCAAATTATGGCGCCCGGGACGGACCGACGCGTTATCCTGTGGTGCAGGGTGTTTGGCGCAGCCTATGGCACAGCCCGTTTCACGAGTTGTGCCGTGCCTCGGTAGCGCGTTCAGGGGGGGAAGGGGAGGGCCTTCCCAGAAGGCTCGGAAGCTCTCCGGAAGTCTGAGAAACTTTCTGCGTTTTCTCCGAAGACACGGGGGGGTCTGAGAATGCGCGAGGGTTTCTGAGAAGCCCCGCCGCCTTTGCGAAGGCCTGCCAGGCGCGCCGCCGAGTGCCGTGTCGTGCCCTGGCGCATGTTGATTCGATCTCTTGGCGCCGTGTTTTTTGTCTCTTCTCCCAGAAGTTTCAACTCCTCCTGGCACTTGATCTCCCCCCCTCCATTCCCTGTCGGCGGCGCGTGCAAAAGGACAGGGTCAGAGAGGGGAAGGCCTTCCAAGAAGCCCTCCTGCTCCCTTCGAGATGCTCTCAGAAGGGGGCGAT